AATCAATAACAGTCATGTGGTAGGAAAAGTCTGTATACCTGAAATTTGTCATTAAAATATATTTGAATCATTTTAAAATGAAAATTTGCATATTCTTTGGTACTTTATGAAAAGTACAGATAGAGGAATTGAATGCAACCACTAATGCACGAGATATAATTTTTATGAGTATATCTTTCAATATTCACCTGTATAATGCACTTCAACTGTCTGACCACATTTTGGGAAATTCGTTCCTGTAAACAATGTATATATATCACTATATGGTTAGATTGAGAAAAATAATAATAAACATAATACAGATACTACTTGAGGATTGCTAGATGCTTCACTATCACAGAGCAGTTAACGTAACCTAGGCTTGCACGTAATTGACAAAAATCAATTCCGTAATTACGGCAAAATCAATTACGTAATGACCCCGTAATTGCGATATTTTTCCACGCATTTAAACCTATCATAACAACCAATTGAATCCACATCTTTTCCGAATGGGACATTGAAATTGGGTTTTCATATTCTTGGCAGTACTACACGCCGGCGGCAAATGTTAAATACAAATATCAAGGAGTGAATTCAAATTAATTTTATTCTGATTTTTATCTTTTGTGTTAGCTTTGGTTTTCCTTTATCACCTTCGCAAATTAACCGTCCCATTTTTATGCGATCAATTTTATTTTAATATTACCGACACTGATATACGGATATTTATGAAAACGATAGTTTTTTAAAACCACCTTAGTACTGAATAAAAATTACGGGTTTCTAATTTATAAACCAACGACGAGCGTATTCTCTCGTTTGATTATACTTGCGATTTCCTCGCGACGAAGACTTGTTTTTGCAGCGTCTTCTGCATTATCCGACATTACTGCCTTGTTAGCATTTTATAATAATAATTATTGATGTCGACTTATTGACGATATTCCGATTACAATGCTTCATTTTACATTTAATTATTTCGTGGACTGAATGTTTATAACATTATTTGCGATAAATTTAGATCAAATATTATTTATTTGCGTATAATTTAAATACCGAACTTACATGATATGCCTTCTCCGAAAATACAAAGTTATATCGCAGAACAATGCATTTTGTGACATTTATTTTACACTCACGACATTTATTTGCTAACTCAAGTCGGCGATCCTATCGGCCAAGATTGACACAAATTTGGTCGAGTGCCGGTGGTATTCAAGTCGACGATAAACCAAAATAAGTTGCCGCATTTGGTAAAACAGTTAATCATATATGGCCGAAATATTGAGAAGAATTGTGAAAAACATCATGAGCAAGGCCAAGTTCGGACTGATATACAACGATAAAACCGTTAACAGAACATCAAGATTTTGTAATAGAAAATGGATCTCTCACAGAATAAACAAACTGGCTCATATTTGATAGCAGTTAAATTTTTAGCGGTCCGCGAGGAATCCGTCGTTTTTTTGTTTCTCTGCCGTCTCAATCGCTTTACCGATGCCGAGAAGACGAAGTTGCGTTGGTTCATTTCGCAATCTCTCTTTTGTCGTCATATTGCTATTTGATAAGCGCGACATTAATTATCACGGCGAGGAATTGGCGCGAGTGATCAATCGCTCTTTTCGCTTATTTGGTTCCAATTCGTCGCGAAAGCTCTTCGTTAAATTTCACAAGTTCGTCGTGTTGAAAGGTTATGTATATTTCCCTGTTTATACCCCAAGTCTGAAATAAAACAGCCAAAAACAGCATGATATTCCATGTTCATATATCAAGTGTTGATATTAACAATAAAGAATGGTTAAGCATTGCTAATCCACACTTGGTGGGGAATTCCCACTATTTAAACGCGTGACTATAACATAGAAACGGAACATATATACCATAAGTAACGGAAAACTGGAACAAGTAAATAATAAATAAAAGTAAAATGGATACAAATGTTTGATAGACCATGTTTGATAGATTGATCTCCTGCGTTCATTAGTCATTTCACCCGAAGAAGTTGAAACCGGGCGTGTTAGCGTCCATTGGTCTTAACACAATTCTTCCCCTTATCTACGGTTATTATGTACATTGGCCATGACCATGCTAGATAAGGTGCGAGAGAAGTTGAAATCAGGTGTGTTGGCGTCAATCAGTCTCAACGCAATTCTATCCTTTATCTACGGTTAAGTTGCGGGAGAAGTTAAAACCAGGTGTGTTGGCGTCAAACGGCCCTACTCAGTTCTTCCCCCTTAACTACGTTAATAATTTACATTGGCCATGCCAGATAAGTGGATAATAGGTTAGTAAATGGCAACGCGTCATGCCTTCCTTCGCCTACGTAACAAGAGAGAAAAAACGGCTGCGAATACCGGAACTCTCTTCTACTTGTTGAGCTTTCATTTTTCGTAATCGACGAAATTGACTGCTTTGAAGAAAGCTCGTTTCAATGCAATAATTACGACTTTACGTAATTCGTAACTTCCCTTCCGTAACTCCAAATAATTACGTAATTCCGTAAATCCGTAAATTACGTGCAAGCCTAACGTAACCTTCTGTAAAAAATATTTTGAACACCACTCGCAACCGAGTCAAGAAAATATCAGATATCTCCGTTCATATTTATCAACACCAGTTGTATAATCACTAGCAGCAGATTCCATTATTCCAAAAAAATGTATATATATGTCACTACATAAACTATTAACATGAAATGCGTTACATAAATTTAACACATGACACATCAATTTTGAAACACCAAATATAGTGCTAGTCGCCAGTGTGGTGCCTATAGCCAATATGCTACAGTCATCTAACGTCAATAGCAGCGGTTCCCAACCAGGGATGCGCGGCCCCAAGCGGGTCACAGAGCAGTTGGGGGGAGGCACAATGCTAGGTGCAACATTGATTTTACTTTTCATTCCCCATTCTTTCTAGGTTCATTGCTTAAGGCTGTAAGGGTATTTCACAGAGTGTTTTCACTTTATAGGCTAGTGCATGGCTACTCAACTGGCGGACCGCGGTCCGAATCCGGACCTTTTGACCATTCAATATGGACCGCGTATGCAGTATAAGCATCGTTTTAGAGTTTTTGTTGATGATTTTGATACTATTTACATACACGGCTATACAGTTTGCCGCACTGGTACCGATGTGCGACATTTGTGTCCATATTTGTGAGCCAATCATTGCTCTTGTATTTAATTTAATAATGCATTTGTTTATTTAATAAAATACCATTCTGAAATGTCCGGACCCCTGTAATTTTGAAGTTTTGTAAACAGACCTTCGGTGAAAATAGTTGAGTAGCCCTGGGCTAGTGCATGAAGAATTCAGCAATTAAAATAACACTATAAATACCACTGGAATGATAAGCCTGTAGACGGGGGGGGTCTTGAGTGTTTAAAACTTCCGAAAGAGGGCCACGCCCATAAAAGGTCGGGATCCACTGGTATATATGTCTAAAACCAGTACAGCACACTATACAAATCGGGTGATATTGTCCCGTTTCAGAGAAACCCATTTTACAGATGACACCCCTCCTTTGGGAGACGTCTGGACATTGTTGTCCCTCAATATCGGTAATAACACAGTATAATGATATTGCGCAAAATACTACAAAAAAGCGCAATCCAGTAACGTCATTATTGAATTCCTTGGGAAAAAATAATCCTATTTACCAAAAGAAAAAAATTGTGCCGTAGCTTTCGAGAGTTTCTAGCAAAAAACGGCAATTTTGTTCATGTGACGGCCGCGATTAATTTAGATTATTATTGAGACAAGCATGGCGAGATATGAAGCATCTGACGTGGTCCCAGACGCCCCTCGTTTGTGAGACACATAGAGTGTTTGTTTTATTGAGCCAAATGGAGGGAAATTCTTGGAATTTGGATAGTGTGCTGTACTGAAAACAGGAACTGGTTCACTGACCATCACAACATTGAGTGAAATACTTCAATAAGACATTTTAAAAACATGGCTGTATGGTCAACCACATTCTTGAGATTCATAAATTATCCAGTTATCCTAGCAGTTCAAGTACAATATTGGGAAGAAAGGTAGGATCGGGGCCAAATATTCCAGCTCGGCCCGACCCAGGCCTGTGGGTATTAAACCTGACTTGAGCCCAACTAATTAACTGGATTAGCAGGCCCGAGCCTAAAATTTCATATTTTATTCAGGAGTTCTTTGAATTTCACTAATACAGTACTAGTATATATTTTTTGTAAACATATATTTATTTTAAAAAAAAGTTAGCAATAGAAAAGACCTACCCAAACGTAATGATTGATATTTAAGGCCTGACCCGAATTTAAGGTCAGGCTTCAGATTTTAGCTCTAATTGGGAATGCAATTTACGAATTTATTTAATTGGTAAATATATCAGTATATAGACTAAATTATATATATTTAAATATAGGAGAAAGTCGGGTTGGGTAAAGTAAGACAAAATGATAAGTCGTCTCAAGCCACAGAGTCAGCACTGGGCTAATCCAGTAATCACGACGCTTCAACCGTGCCAAACTGCGAAAAATCATAACGAAATCAACCAATCTCACAGTACAGTAGTATGATAAAACTGTAAAACGAAGAAAATATATTTACCATCTCCTGGTTGTATGGTTTCTACGGTAACTCCCATTTTTCACCGATGTAAACAAACAAAAATATAAAATTAAGAATATTCCCGAGTCAGACGAACGAAGCAAACCGTGGTCGCGCAAGAAAGAGTGGTCCGATAAGAAACTGAGAAAAAATAACCGGCGTGACGAGCTTTTTTCTCCCGCGTCATCGCATGCTTCGTTGATTTAAAAACGAAAACGTTATATTCGCGGGTATCTTTTGGAAAAATCTGGAAAGAGTCAGCCGGATATCTGTTTCAGATTCATGGAATTGATAACGGAGGAATTTGCGACGAGTCGTTTTCCAGCAATCCTCTCACATATAATTATTCTCCATGCGGAGTAGTCAGAGGTGTGATGACGAGCGAAGCCAGCCGCCGAGTTTATGTTGTAATATAATTATATTCATTTATAATGAGTAGAACGCAAGTTGAATTTTCATATTTATCCAGGGGATGGAAACGCCGGTAAGACGGCTAAATCAAGTCCATGCATTTGAAAATAAGGACTCGAGGATTGCTGGACTCCTCGCCGCGTAGGGTGGATCACGTAATCGCTGGTCGGTTACGGCTTCCCCTACAATCAAGTCCGTGCGCCCGGAAACAATTAACTAACTAATCCCATAGCCGACGTGGAATGGTAACCGGACGAGAGACCGTGGCTCACCATGTGGTTAAGCCGTCTTATCGGCTTCCTCTCCCTATGAAAATTATATAAATTCCAACCTAAAACAAATAACCGATATGACTGGTAACCGGGCGAGAGACCGTAG